AAATTAACTAACTCGAGTTAGATAAACATGATAACCAACCATCACCCATTGAGGGACCTCCATATAATGTCGGGATCGCCACCATTTCCAAATTGAAGCAAAATACCCTAGGGTGGGGCCGACCTGGACCACTGAGCCAATCTTAGTAGCATGACTGTGTTTGTCTTTTCATGCTAGTAAAAAGAAGAAAAAAATGTTGGAACTCGATCATTAATTTCCAATTTGTGACTCAAGATCCACTCTTGAATATTCTTATATTCCAATTTCTTATAAGGGAGATAACTTAACACAGATTGCTGGTACAATATGTAAGATAGCACATACTTTAAATAGATATACAGCTTTCACCTACCACAAAGTCGGTCCTGGTACTTCTCTATCACATGCAAAAGTTCCATGGAGGATTTTTGTATGGCTCTAAACACCTACAATGTTCAAAGCAGAAAATATAACAATTATCAAATTTTTTATTTCAACATTGTTATATTTCAACATTGTTATATTTCACAATTGAACATTTGGAATAAAATCTTGAAACACAAAAAATAATATCATAATCATCATCTTCACATATTTTGCTCTGATAAAAAAAAATTAAACAGTAAGAAATATATTTTGTACGGCCATACCTCCAGTTTGGAGTCCAGCTGTGCATCAGAAGCGACTACATGTTCATCTTCCTTCTTGCCCAGTTTCTGTATGACCGCTTGTTTCGTCGTCCAGAATGTCTCCTTCATCTTGTGTAGTGTGGATGTCTCAGTTCTTTCCACGTGTCTATCATAGTTGGAGCCAGAGTAGCCATGCCTACTGCGAAGAAATTAGCCTGGTTATACTTGAGATATAATACAAAATGTCTGTTGAAAATTGAAAATACCGAAGGGTAATAGCAATTCTGAAATTGTTTCATTATTACACTTTTATGAAATACTATATATATACGGTAACAAGGAAGGATAGAAATATCCCATACTTTGGTAAGTAAGTTGGGTTCAAGCCTTAGTTTTGCCCCCAATTCTGTACCCTAACTTCCCTAAGGTGGGCCATTTCTATTCTATACATGGTAGAGTCATACAGTATTACACAGAGATATTTTACTGACACAGGGAAGTAATTGTTCTGTATTTCACTTTGTTTCACGTTTAGTTCTGAGCGTGCATGGACAACAACACATGGTACAGCAGAATCTGGCTTATAGATGAAATTATTCCAACATTGTGTTTACATGTTTAGACTCAAAGGGGATCTTGAGGCGTTATCAGAACCAACAAATCAGTTATTTATGACACCATCGATATATAGTGACATTGGTGACGTCATCATATGTACACAGAATAATCGTTTAATGTAAACATAAGCATATATTAGGCAAAAAGAAACATTAAAACAGCTTTTGTAGTACATCATTAGAAGCTCGACGCCAAATTTGTTTATCACACTTTGTAAAGCACATTTAACTTATAAAAGCAATGCAATGAATCTCCAGTGAATCCCAATTCTGAATGAAGAGTGGGGGGAGGTCATCATGAGGGGTTGTTTTATCTTAGCGGAGGTTTACTGTACATGTAATTCTATGTGCTATAGAGGAAATGATGTAAATACGAAAGTACAGTATTTAGTGTCTATTATTTTGTGTAATTTGAACAAGGCTAACAATATTTTTCATGTTTCATTTATAATATGACCAGAAATTAACCGTAACTATATGTACATTTGCATGAAACACTGTACTTTCTGATTTTCAGCATTTCAGTATCCCTTAAACTTGAAGGCAGATTTTGTACTTAACAACACTTTTAATATTTTAAAACTGGAATTTAAGTTTTGTACTTACGACATTTTGGAACACTTTAAGCTTCCTCCTTGTGAGCAATGTGTTGATGGAGAAGTTTCTTACTGCAACAGAAAACAGACTATGAAATCAAACAAAAGTAATTATATAATACTCAATTAAAAAATAAATAATAATGACACTTAAATGTTTTTCCTGATCACTCGGTAGATATTACGACTGATAATCTGGATCTGTGCTTTAAACATACACATAGTGGATACACAAAATGACTTTTGTGGGACCTGGCCTGGTGACTAGCTTATAGCTAGGTAGCTCATTTGG